CTCGTAAATTGTACTCCTGAGCAATTATTTATAAAATTTCATTACTCATTAATATATTGCATGATTTTGTCAAGTAATCATTCCTACTAGAGAACCTATTTTGAGGGATTTGGACGGTGGATGATTGTTAAGTTTTAGATGAAGAGCCCAAAGCTCTTCAACCAAAACGAAGATGGAAAATCCAGACTACATAAAGGTTACAGATTTTTAACATCATCGGTGCAACAGTGAGCAGCAACTAGAGCATAGTGGGTTGATCAATTTACAAAAAAAATCCATGAATCGAGCATCAACTATGACACTTATTTAGTGTGTCCGGGCATTGTAGCAGACCAGGATTAATGAAAAAAATTGAAACCCAAATACTCATATTATAAACTCTAAAAAATTGAATTCAAATAAACAAATCATTCATAAATCGAGTCATAGAGGATTCAAAAGTTCAAAATCACCATCCATCAATATAAAAAAATTGTTTTTCTAGCTATTAGGTTTTAGCCTGAATAAAAGCAGGATAAATACGGAGTGATGATAGAGTTTAATTATAGTGTGTGGGTTTAAATAAAATACCTATATTCACATGAATTATATTTAAACATCAAATGATGATTATATTAAATAGATATATTCACAAGAATTATATCTAATTGTCAGATCATAGTTGTATGGAATACATGTAAGTTGTCATATCCCGGCCCGGGCCCCACCATATCCTAGGTTCGACTCCGCCGTAGTACGATGTTGTCCGCTTTGGGCCCCGATCATGCCCTTATGGTTTTATTTTTGGGAACTCACACGAGAACTTCCCAGTGGGTCACCCATCCTAGGATTGCTCTCACGCGAACTCGCTTAACTTCAAAGTTCCGATGGAACCCGAAGCCAGTGAGCTCCCAAAAGGCATCATGCTAGGTAGAGATTGGAATGTACATATAAGGCTTACAATATCCACTCCTCTTGGCGATGTGGGATGTTACAATGAGGGCTCGGGCAGGGATGTGACATAAGAATTGATGGCAATCTCCAAATTTTAATACTATAGTTGATTGCGTCATAGTTTTTAGTAGACTAAACAATATCTTACATGACCTGTTAGCATGACATGGGTAAGTATTACCCATGGGTACTTGTTTCATCCTATTAAATGCATGCATCTTTGGAGTGTAGTTGTAAAAAATCATCAAAATCAAAGTTAAAATAACCGTTAAATTGTGATTTTTCATTTATAACCGTCGAAAAGGTTTGTCCGTTACTTGATATTTGAATGTTTGTTTTTTTTCGATTTTTGGCGTACACGATCTCGAAGTATATATACAAACAAGTTTGACGGTTGGATCGTTGAAACTAATTTCATACGATGCATATCCAGGGACGAAGTCAGAGATTTGTATGAATGGGGGCATCCTCAAACAATAAAATTACAATTAAAAAGCTAAAAAATTTACTAAACAAACACTTATATATTAATCTTATAAAGTTTTTCATACAAAACACTTAGAATCATTGTTGGTGAAGTCAGTCATATTGATACTAAGAGAAATGCTAAGGAGACACTCTCAAAGTAGGACTCTCCGCCACCTCATGTTTTTGGCACAATAATTAATAATGTTGGTACAGGAATTATGCTGAAAATATGAGGTGATGGAAAGTTCATGGAGATGTCCACTTTTGAAAGAGTCTCCTTAGCATTTCCCTTGATACCAATTAACATATAGGGTTCAATTTTTATTTTAATTAGGGTTGGTCATTGAGATGCAAAATTGTACAATTTTTCTGCACTCAAAAATGTTGTTTGAGTGGGGGCATCCGCCCCCTCTAGGCCTATAGTGGCTCGGTCCCTATGCGTATCCCATAAAATTCAATGGTATATATATTTATTAAATAGCTTTAAATTTATCATTACATATCCCCTATCAAGCTCATTCCGATCACTCCATCATTAACTCTCGAATTTCAGAAAGACGAATAATTTTTAAGGAAAATTAATGAAAAGGGCTTGAAAACTTTGAGTTTTAATGATAAGGACAAAATAAAGGGTAAAGTGAATAGTACTAGAATTGACTTTTTAGTGTAAAAATGTGGTTTTTCGTTAAAGTGAACAGTACCATGTGCTTTTCGTTAAAGTTTCCTATTTTTTATGCATGATTAGAAATTATAGTTGGATATAACGTCTTGTTGATTGTTGTTTGGCGTTACTTGTTTCTCTTGAGATTTCAAGTTCCATTAGCCCAAAAAAAAAATATATAATTTCTAATATGTGTCACAGCTTAGGTCGTGTCACCTTTTATTAAGGAGTTGGGTTTGAATTTGAATTTTATCACTAGTTAGTTTAATGGATTGACGTGATGTGATACATCAAAATGACCGGTTTACAACTTATTTATCATGTCTAATTTTAGAGTGAAACCGATTTAATTGGAACAGTGCCTACTGTAGAAAACCCAATGGTAAAAGTCAATTAACATTTTACTTTGACACATAAACATGGTTAATAAATACGAGACTGGTACGTCAGTACCTATTTCACACACCAATTTTTATGACCCAATAAAAATATCACATATGTCATGTCCCTATTCTTTTCTATCTTTGTAACGAAACACAACCTCACCCACCCTTAAAACTGTTACCAAACTTAAATCTTCTTCGCCGCTTCGTCTTCCTTCCGTTCGAACAAATTGATGACGGTACTCATAACCGGCCACCGCGGCCTCGTCGGCTCTGCCATTATCCTGCAAGCTCCATATTCTAGGATTCAACAACCTCGCACCCTCGACGGTCTCGACCTCACTCGCAAAGCCGGCGTCGAGTCCTTGTTCACCACCAAGCGAGAAGCCCCAACTCGTCATCCTCACTACAGCAGAAGACGGTGGCATTCACTGCTGGGTGGAGTCGACGATTGGAGGAGTGATTGTGTGTGGGGTCGACGGAGAAAGCTTAGTGCGACTGATAAACTCGTGTTTTTTTTTTCTGTTTGGAACTCCCACTTGTTGAATTTTATCATTTTGGTTTACATCTGCCATGGGAAGAAGATTATTATTTTGGTTTAGGTGGTCTTTCATGGTAGATCAGGCATGGTAAGAAAGGAACAAGAAAAGATGAATGCTTGGTTATTGGAGGCTGTTTGGTTACTAAGCAGGGGTGTGGGAGAGAATTTCAAATGACAGATGTTGTATTCCTGTTGGACCACATAGCTTGGTGTAGTCAAATTAGGATTTGATAGCATTTTAATTGATTTTAAAATCTGGATGTATTCAATTAGGATTTTAAAAGATTTTGAAATCAGAGTGTAGTCAAATTAGGATTTTAGAGGATTCTCAATTAGGATTTTAAATGAGTCTGCAGATGTCTAGGTGTAGTGAAATTACCAAGGATTTGCTAGGATTTTGATGAGTGATGGATTTTAATGGATTTAAGGGTGTGTGGTATAAATACCAAATGCTATCAAGAATCCAATCTATTTCCACTCAAAATATACCTATTTTTACTTATTTGGGCAATTTGGGTAAAATATGGCATTTGGAGGACAAATGAGCAAGAAAGCTAACTTGGAAAGATATTTGGTTGCAGGTGGAGGGGTTTGACTCTATAATATTGTTTCTCCCATTTGTTTGGTGGTGGAGGTTTGCCAAGAGAATTGTTTAATCAAGACAAGTGCATGCTTTTTCATGCAAGTGGATGGAATGCACCATGAGAGCTTTCGGACAAGGAACATGTGAAAGAAGCCAACTTGCTTCTTTTAAATGTTAGTTTATTACAAGTGGGAAAACATGTGATGAAAGCATGTGGTGGAGGTGCAAGTTTCCCTTTTAATATTATTTCTCCATACAAGTTGGCAAGAGAAATACAAACTGCCCAAGTTTCTTTTGGGCAGATGCAGTGTCTTCAGCAGGAGGGTTTCCTCCAGATCTCTATTTAAAGGAGCCCAAACACAAGGATTATGGACACTCAAAACAACCAATCAAAACTCTACTCAAATTAGCTCATCAGCTTCCTTGTAGACATTTATTTTTAGCCAAGCATCCTTTGCTTTTCTTGTTTATTAGCTCTGCTACTCACTTGTAGTATCGATCTTATTTGTGGCTTTTATGTACAACCCTCTTTCAGTCATTTAATCCACAAGCAATCTGCAATATTAGTCACTTTCCTCTGTCATTTATATTTCCAAGCAACATTATCATTTACATATTGTTCTATCTCTTCATATAAGTAAAGTCCTTATTTTTAAGGCAAACAAAGAACCTTAATTTGAGTAACTCCCACTCAATGGCACAATCTCTTGGTTCGAAGTCAAACTCAGGCGCAACCTCAATCATTCAAATCCCGTCTACTAGCAGCATCTAGTAGTGGCACGCCCGCACCCCACCAATCTCGTATGTGAACAAATCCCTGGTATGCCCGCAAGGCATCATGGCGGATTTAGGGAGCGAACACAATCCTTACCCCTCAGATTTCTTTTCACGTAAATACCTTTGCTAACGCTTATTTTCCCCTTCTACTACTTCCTATCTATGTTGTACTTTTATTTCCCGAAATCCAATTCAATAAACTCAGAATTTGGATAAAAGTAAGAATTTGGAAATTGACATGCACGAATTCCCTTGTTTGGATTCATAAACATAGAAATTTGGAATTTTCGCGTGGAAAAAAACTTGAAATTTGGGACCTCTAATTCTCAAGTTTAAATTCCATATACATAGGTGTCATTTCCCAATTTCTATGATTGAGAGCTTAAAAATAACAAATTCCGTATTTAATTTCATTGTTCTTTTAGGCTAACAAAACAAGAAAATTCACAATTCCAGAAAATAAAATCCCGTCAATTCAATTTCTGTCATTTTAAAATTCCTTGGTAATCTTAAATTTTTTTATCCAAATATAGTGTAATAGAAATCTATATAAATATGTCAAAATCTAAATAGAATTGTAAAGTTCATTAAAATCTTTTAAAATCTATCACCTAACAAAAATCTATTAAAATCATTTGAAATCCAAATTGACTGCACGTATCATCCGTGCAAATGGGGCTCATGTGAACTTTATCTCCTTCCTCTCTCACACACACAGTACACACGCACGCACGCAGAGAGAAAGGAGAGACGGCGGAGCCGCGCAGAGAGAGAAAGAGAGACGGCGGAGAGAGAGAAAGAGAGAGTAGCGTTTCCCTTTCATCTCTTACTTATCGCCAGACTCTGCAAATCATAACAGCAAGTGGATTAGCTAGCTGCCTGGATTGCAATTCCTTCATTTCCTTCCCCTCCCGACCCTCTGTTTTCCAGGCAAGTGTTTATTCCTTCCTCTTACTCCCACCTTCTTTTTTTCCAGTGTTTGGTTATTAATATTATTGTTAGTATTTCAATTTTTTTATTGTTCCATTTGAAAACACTGATATATTTTCTTTGTGGGTATCTTAGTCCTTGTTTGGCATCTAGTATTGAATTGGATTGGATAACCCACTTTCTACCATTTTTGTGTACCATAAATTTTATTTCTTTTGATTTCTTATGTATTGAAGAACCCTTTTGATTAAGGTTAAATCCGTGCTTTTCACTCAATTTTGCATAAGTTCTTAGTCAGTCACTATCTCTGGACAAATGATTATTTTTTCTTATCTCAATTTTTTATTTTTTGCATGATAGTTCTTTCTTTTTGGTTGAATTCTTTTTAATGTTCTTGTGAGTTCAACTCTGGTGCCTCTTCCCTGTTGATGTGTATATATGTATGTCGTTGTGTCATTTGGTGATAAAAAAAAAAAAAAAAAGGGAGGGCGACCTCAACTCAACAAGGCTCTTTGCTTTGCGAGGGTCGGGGAACGTCTATTGTACACAACCTTACCCTTGCTTGCAAAGAGGCTGTTTTCAAGACTCGGGCCCGTGACCTTTCGGTCACAAAGGAGCAACCTTTTCGTTGCGCCAAGACTTGCCCTCTGTCATTTGGTGATATGGTATCATAATTACTTTGGTTTTTATTTGGTAGAGTTTTTGTTGTTGAACCATCTTTTATTTATCCGTGATTGTATAACTGGAGCATGAGAATTTGATGACTAGGTCATGGCTGGGTGTTTTGCTTAAGACCCAGCGGATAGTTCAATTTTTCTGCAGAGAAACCTAGTGTTTGTTTCATACACAATGGAAAATGTTGTGGATTCGGATAGTTAGGTAGGATTCCTTTATGGAGAAGAATTTTGTCTTCTGGTGTTAGGTTGAGTCAACATGAAATACAAAATTGGCAAATTGATACTGCTAAGTTTGCTAGTCATAGATGTACAATGTCTTCTCCTTCTGAATATGGGACATGCGGGTTCCTTTTTCCGCTTATAGATATCAGTTTCCTAAGAACACTGCTTTGCACATTGGTTGAAATTGTGTTTGCTTGTATGTGTGGCTAAACTTAGGGCTGATGCATGTATTTTGAACCTTTTACATGATTATGTGACTTAAATTTGTTTTGGTTTACAGGTTCCAGTGAAGATGATAAAAATAGTGGAAACAAGGTCTAGAATTGTGCTGGTACACTATTATCTCTGGTAGATAAAGTGGGTAGCATCATCGCACTTACTTGGATAGTTGTGCTTCTTTGTGACAGTTTTGCTTCATCTTGCTCATAAGAAACCACGAAGGCTGGAAACGTTTAATGTGACCCTCGTGTGGATAGTGAGCCAGATGGTATTGTTGTACCCTTCATAATGTCACCACACATGTGTATTGTGTAGGGTGTAAAGATTGTGAGTGTAAAATATGGAGTTGTCTTCGCCCTTCTCATTGCAAAGGGATTTACCCATCACTTCTCTCAGATCCAGCTTCCTCCCTTGGAATCCTCCTTGCTTATTAGGTACAGTCAAGAGGAATTATAAAAACAATAGGATCTCAGAAAATATCCCTTTTTCAGTATCTTGCTCATCTGTCAAAACTGTCCGCAGTCCTTCATTGGACAAGCATGTTGTGAAGCAAAACAAGATGCGTTTTGTCCAAAAGCTACAAACACTGCTTCTTTCCAAACCGAAATGCTATATTCCAATTCATATTCTCAATAAGTGTCGAGCCTACCTTTCCCTATCAAAGCCACGATCCATTCTCTCAATGATTCATAGATACCCTACTATTTTTGAACTCTTCATGATCCCAATAGCTCCCTTGCCATCCAATGCAACTAAATCATTATCACAACTCTGTGTCCGTCTAACCCCAGCTGCAGCAGCCCTTGCTGCTGAGGAATTAAGTCTCAAATCAGCCATCTCTGACACCTTGGCCACCAAACTCCAGAAACTTCTTATGCTCTCTTCTCATCATCGACTACTTCTGTCAAAGTTGGTTCACCTAGCTCCAGATCTTGGTCTTCCCCCTAATTTTCGCTCTCGTCTATGCAATGACTATCCAAATAAATTCAAGACTGTTGACACCTCCTATGGCCGTGCACTTGAGCTTGTCTCCTGGGACCAAGACTTGGCAAAGCCTTTACCATCTCCAGAAGTTCAGTCACGTGAGCTAATAGTAGACAGACCTTTGAAATTCAAGCAGTTGACACTCCGAAAGGGTCTAAATTTGAAGAGGCGTCACCAAGATTTTTTGCTCAAATTCAAAGAAATTCCGGATGTGTGCCCATACAATACCCCCATCTCGGACTTGCCTAAAGAGACAATTGAGGCAGAGAAGAGAGCTTGTTTGGTGGTGAGAGAAGTGCTAGGGATGACGGTTGAAAAGAGAACTTTGATAGACCACTTGACTCATTTTAGGAATGATTTTGTGCTGTCCAACAAGTTGAGAGGGATGATCATACGGCACCCGGAGTTATTCTATGTGAGCTTGAAAGGGCAGAGAGATTCAGTGTTTTTAGTGGAGGGTTTTGATGACAAGGGTGCACTGTTGGAGAAGAAAGAGACTTTGGTGATAAAGGAAAAGTTGATGCAGTTGGTTAGAGAAAGCAAGAGACTAAGAAGAGAGAGGAAGAAAGCTAGGATTAACAACACTGAGATTGGTGGCTCTAGTGATGATTTTGAGTCCGATGGTGATGATGATGATGACTATGATGACGGTTTTCAGAGTTTGTTTGAGCCTGAAGATTTTTATGTGGATGATGATGGTGATAAGAAGGGTGAGATAATTGACTACAGGGAGAAAGGGCAGTTTTGGAATGTTGATGCTCATTCTGTTCATGATGGCGGGAAGCAACAAATGGAACCTTGGTAGAAAAGAATGTCAAGTGTTCAGATCTTACCAGAAAATAATCAAAGTGCGAGGATAGTATTATGGCAGTTATATGAATGACTGTAAAGACGAAGTCTCACAGTCTGTATCTATATATATGAAGCAAATGGCCCTTCACCTAAAGGGTAATTTTTCTGAAATACCTTACATTATCCTGAGGTGAAAAGTTTACTTAATTCAAAACCACTTCCCTTCACTTTCCTGTTAATAAAATTGGCTTATGGAAGAAGCAGATTGTAGGCAACCTACATAATTGAAGCTTAATACAAGGTATCTAAATTTGTGCTGAATTTGTTTTTCATATTCTCTTATTTTATTCGAGGAATTATAACTGTTTTGTTTAAAAGTTTTCCTAGATGAGTAATCAGTAGTCATTTTACTTGGTCTTCTCTAGTAGTTTGGAAACTAAAGGTGTAACCCTAATCTTTTCAATGTATTAGATTATCATCTTTGATAAAATGGAGCGTGTTCTATGGATCATTCTAAATTTGGTTGTATCCTAGTTTATGCTCCGAAAATGATGAATTGGCTTTCGATGACTACATAGTACGAGCCCTACTACGTGGACAGATACGGGTCAAACATTTTTCTAATTCTGTTACCACAGTAACCAGGATTTGGTTCTATGCAGAGGCTTTTCTTCCTGACCTACTGGTGGATTTGGGAAAAGTCAAGTCTAAAACTTACAAGTGCATAATTTCACCACAAATTTTCTCAGAGATGGCCTGCTTGCTTATGAAGGGTTGTTTATGTCTTTGCGAAAGTGTTGGACTCCTTTGTTGCCCTTACCTTATTAAATGTTTCCTTCCCTTGCAGGCCATGAAGTGGCACAGATAAGTGATCAAGCTCTTCATGGAGGCAACATATGCATAAAGATAGCTGATTGGTGTATGTCCAGTGCAGCAACTGAGTTCTCAACCTCTGCATCAATGGCTCCATTACCTTCGTGCTGTTCAGCTATGTATATCTACTCAAAAAGTGGTTTCACTTGGAATTTCCTTTCTCGAGCGTGAGCATAGGTATGGAGAATGGAATTACCTTTCACTTTTTACATTGATTCAAGTCGCTTTGATATATTTCGACTACGCTGTTACTCCTAATGTTTGATTAACATCTGTGAATGAAATAGTTGATACACTATTTCATTACTACGAAACACAACAAATTGTTGTTGGCCAACACTAGAACTCATCATTACTGCCAAAACTAGAACTCGTCAAGCATATATATACACACTATTTGATTAACAATTTATGGACCGTTGGATTTCCAAAGGTAAAAAAAATTTAAAAATCTTATTTAATTTCAGCCGTTGTATCTGAGATCAACAGTTCACGTTATTCGGTTTTATAAATTATAAAAAAAAAGAGTTTAAAATTCTGAAATGTTACCGTTGTGCCACGTGACATAATTTGGGATGTTGGAATTCAATTTTTTTTAATCCAATAGCAGAGATTAATTATGTGAACAAAAAATTAAAAATTGTAAAAAATTAATAAAAATTTTGAAAAATTGAAAGAAAAAATTGATTTTACTTATCTATAAATACATTCTCATTATCTTCTACCTTACACCACAATTTCATATTTTGTCACGTGGCGCAACGAGAACGATTAAAAATCTTATTCGAAATTACAAATAAAATTATTTTGTATTATTTTATAAATTAAAGAAATACTAATATTTTATTACCTATTGTTAGGGTGTAGGGGTGGAGATGCAAAAGATAATTACTGTTCATTAAAGACAATTATTGTTTACTGGGTATATTAAATAGTGAATAGTCCTAGGGACTTAACAACGGTGCAAATGGGGTTTCTTGTCGACAAATGAACACGTGACATTGAGTAACTCCACCGTGGTGGATTGCTCGGGGGACAGGCGAGAGAAAAGGGCCCGAGGCCCTATGGATTCACTCCAGCGTGAAGGAGCTCGAGTGGAGGTGGAGGCTTGAGCTCCGGGCCTGTGAAGAATTGCCAGCCCTTGAGCCCGAGTGGATTGGCTGTCAGGGCTGACGTCAGCCTTGCAGCAGGCCCTTTTTTTATTTTTTTCTGTCAGGCGCGTCGCCCGACATCTTTTCAAAAAAATCAGCCCACTTTTCAGACTGAAATGTTACTGTTGGGAAGTCACGTGGCTTCCCACGGTCCGTTTGATCTCAACGGCTCTTTAACTTGGACCGTTCGATCTCAACGGTAAAAAAAAATCTTATTTAAAATCTACCGTTCGATCTGAGTTCAACGGTCAATATTAATATGCTTTATAAATAAAAAGAAAAAATAGTTTTAAAATTAAGAAAAGTTACTGTTGTGACACTAGGCACAATCTGGAGTGTTGTAATTCAATTTTTTTTAAATCCAACGACAGAGATTAATTATTTAAATTAAAAAATTAAAAAAATTGTAAAAAATCCGAAAAAATATCTGAAAATTTAAAAAAAAATGTTTCTACTTTTCTATAAATGTCTTCTCATTATCATCTACCTTACACCACAATTTCAGATTTTCTCAACTACTTTCAATCACATTCCTATCTTTCTCTCAAGGTTTCAATATGATTTTTTTCAATAAAATGACTATTGATGCATGTACGAATTGGACGCTTCTTGAAGATGTTGCATTGTGTACTAATTGGGTTGAAATTACTTATAGTTCGCGTACGGGTAATGAGATGCAATTGCGAGAAATGTGGAGTCTTATTCATATCAATTATCTTGAAAAAATGGGTGGGAGTAGAACCAAAGAATCAATGTCTAGTTGTTAGAAATTACTTAGCCAATCATTTAGTATTTGGAGAGACGTCTTGGCACAAGCTAGTAGTAATCTTCGAAGTGGGGAAAATTACACGGATCAGGTAACAATATATTATTTATTTGTTTGTACTATACCCAAATTTACATTGTAATTATTTGTTTGTATTATTTATTTGTTATCTACTTTAATTATAATTATTTGTTTGTATTATTTATTTGTTACATACTTTGATTATAATTTTTTGTTTGTATTATATATTTGTTTCATACTTTTTATTATAATTATTTATTTGTTACCTACTTTGATTATAATTATTTCTTCTCCCCCATTATGTAGTTAATTCAAGCACAAGCTTGGTATGGTGCCAAAACCAAAAGCAAAAATAAATCATTCAACCGGTGAGAATGTTGGAATATTATCAAAGATTGTCCTAAATTCAGAGTTGTGCATGTCGGTCCAGAAGTTGTCATGAACAACACCCATCTACACTCTACACCTGATAATGGCTCGCATAAAGATGATGGAGAAGAAGTGCCCGAAACGCCCATCCCTGAACAAGCGTCGGGTTCGACCCGTTATCCAATTAGGTCTCAATGTAAGAAGGCTTCAAAGAGAAAAGGAAGTGCTTCCAAGCATGATTATGCAAAGTACATGGAAGAACTTACTCGCCATAGTAAATTGACTTTGGCACGGGAAATAGCGAAATTTGAGGCTAATAATGCTAGAGATGAGGCAAAAGTTGTAGCTGTTGAGAGAGAATTTCAAGCTAATGAGAAAGAAAGATAGCTACTTAGGCAAGAAAGGGAACTGGTTAGAGAAGAAAGAATGGCTCAATGAGATCATGAGATTATGAACACGCATTTAGAAGGGAAGTCTTCAAATTGTAAATATTTTTGGAAGTCGAAGAAAGAGGATGTAGTGCGTAGGAGGCGTGCAAGAGAAGCGAGAGGAAGAGGAGATAGTCCTAGCACGACAAGAGAAAATCATCCTAGCACCACAAATTGGTTAAGTGATGATGATTAGAGTACTTTTGTAATCGGAGCCCATAGTTTTCTAATCGCATTGAGTTGTAGTTTATTATTTATTGAATAGAGTATTTATGTTGTTTCCAATTTATTACATAAAACTCACGAAATAAAACACACCAAATAAAATTACATAGACATACCAAATAATAAAAAAACACACTAAATGAACTTAATTATCTTCAGCTTGTTTCAATACCCACTGGTGCTCTATCAAGTCATTTTGCCGGGCATTGTGCATGTCTAGCCTTTGAAATGCAGTATATCGTTGAATGATCATTTCATTGTAACGTTCATCCCTTTCTAATGACTCATGTTGCATGGGCTCATCGGTTGCGTCATGAGCACAATATATATGTGTTCTTGAATTGTTCATCGTGTCTGGCTCATATTCATCAACAGCTTTATAATCGTACTCATCTTCCACAATCATGTTGTGAAGAATGATGCACGTCATCTTGATGGATCGAAGCGACTCTACATCAAACAATCTGGCAGCACCCCTATCGATCGCCCAGCGAGCTTGGAGAATACCGAAACAACGCTTCACATCCTTCCCGCACCCCTCTTGACAGCTTGCAAAGTGTTTTTCCTTTGCACTTCGCGGACGTGGCACTGTTTTGACAAATGTTGACAACCTTGGGTAAATGCCATCACCTAAATAGTATGGCCTGTCGTACATACGTCCGTTGACCTCATATGTGACTTTTGGTGCCTTTCCTTGCAGGACATCGTTGAACACTGGGGATTCGGTAAGGACGTTGAGGTCATTTTGAGCTCCCGGAACCCCGAAAAATGCGTGCTAAATCCATGTATCAAAAGATGTCACCGTCTCCAAAATGATACTTTTTGCTCCTTTTTTGTCTCCATAAGCGTCTTGCCATGCACTTGGACAGTTTTTCAATGTCCAATGCATACAATCAATGCTCCCAATCATCCCAGGAAAACCTCGTATCTCGGCCTTCTTCAGAAGCCTTTCCAAGTCCATGTGAGTATGTTGCCGGAGGTACTCTGCGGTGTAAATAGATTCGATTGCTCCGCAAAACCTCATCAGGGGCTGAAGAATGGTTGATTTCCCTATCCTCGCTATCTCATCCACTTGGTCTGCAGATGCTCCATATGCATGCAAGCATCCGCAGCGCAGCAGTAATTTTTTGCTCGGAAAAGAGACCCATAGTACCAAAAGCATCATTCTTTTGCACAAAGTAAAAATCATGGTTGCAAACAGTAATCAAGATTTTGTTGAACAAATATCGTTCCATTCTAAAACGACGTCTAAAGTACGTATCAGGAAATGCAATGTTATGGATAAAATAATCGTCCAACAGCTCCACACCTCGTCGTTGCCTGTTTCTATCAAGGTTTTTGGAACGGGTGGGCCTGCATATCTGAGCCACAGCTTGGATGACTCGATAGGAATGTGAGTCTCTGGCCATTCTTACTTCGTCATCTCTCCTTCCCCGCTCTTCATCCTCTTCTTTCTCATTTTGGGCTA